GTGCTCCCCCCTTTGCACCCCAGCCTGCTCTGCTCTCCTCCCTGGCATTAAGAGCACGCTGCTGTGGACAACACTTTTTCTTCTTGTTTTGTTTTGTTTTTTTTTCCTCCTCTAGAAGGCCACAGCTCTTTTCATTACTCAGGAGTTTCTACCTTCTCTGGAAGCAACAAGACAATTACGCCTTTGGAACTGAGGAATCGCAGGCGGTCAAGGCTTTGCAGTTATTTGTGTGATTAAGTATACTGCTTCAGAAATTTGGCCTCCTGCCTGTTCCCAAGATCATAACAGTCCTGGGCAAACATGTGTTTTGCAATCACATCAGCAAAACACTCGGCCTTTGTTTGCAGCAGTCTGTACTTCTCTCATCGACCCCCCAGGGCTATAAACTCTAGCCAGACACCTTACATCTCCCACCTCTTTTGGTTTGGGATTTTATGGCACCAATTATTTCAAAAGAAACAAGTCCCTGAACCAGACCACATGATTTTTAGTCTTCCAAACCAATCTACGATGTATAAAGCTAAATTCCATTCAATCATTTTCATTCGATTTTTTTGAGTTACAAAGTATCCTAAGAAGAATCACTTTTTTGATAGGTGGAGGCCAGGACAGCTACAGACCCAAATTTCAACCCTAATAAGCTATCTAATAACCAAGTAGGGAAATTCCACGACTCTGAACTTTACACTGTTGTTAAATGTAAAACTGAACACTGGAAAACTGCTCCGGCTGTTCCCATTACAGGCTTACGATTCTTGCAGCCAAATGCAGAAGCCACCGAGGACAGTACTGTCCGGGGAATGCAGCAACACGACTCAAAGCAGTAGTAGCTCTGCACATTTCTAAAGCTTTAGAGGCTTCCTTTCTTCCCCGCTTTCCAAATACCACCACTTCTCTGTGCTATGCAGTTAACTCTGAAGAGGCAAGGGATGGTTTCTGCTTCTGAAGGTTTAGCAGCAATGTAATATTAAGTTACCTAGAGATGTGCAGGTACCACAGCTCCTCACTTGGGGACCTGCCTTTAAGTCAGCAAGTCTCTCCAGATGAAACTAAGTGTGCTTCATGCCTACTTGCACTTCATAAAGCGCTCAAGAGAAGCGCAGAAAAAGAAGAATGCAATATTGGCAAGAAAGGTTGCACTTTATGAGCCAGTAAAATAAACTAATAGAGAATGCTGTTTAATTCCCACTGACTACTTACTTTCTTCAGACCAAAACATAACATAAAGACAAGTAATGGGCTCCTCTTGCAACACAGGCAAAGAACTGGCTTATGCTCAAAAAAACTGCTGAAAAAAGAGAATAATCACCTGAAAATGTGAAACGCAAGATGTCTCACCATGAGAAGTCTTCCTGAATGTTAGATGAAATGTTATGCCTTTCAATGAATTCAATTAATATGTTAACACCTTTGAAAAAGAAAAAAAATGGCAGCACGCCCTCACTTCCCTGAAGCGTTTATCCTCCCCACCCCCTTTAGCCGATTGCCTTGTCTGGATATTTGTGAGGAAGCCTGTTTATATTAACATTTGCTCCTATATAAAGGAGCTTGGTAGATAAAAGATGTTTCTCTGACATTACCCAAGGGAGACTAACTATCATGAAACAGCCAAGACAACAGCAAAAAGCGATGAGGAAATTCTACCACGTTCCCTGTCTTCTGTATCAGGGCAGATGAAGGCAGCGAAAAGTGCATACAGAGGCAAAGGGGAAGTTTCAC